TTTAGCTCTTTCTCTGGGTCTGAAGGATGAAGGTTCTCAATCTTTGAACCAGGCTGGCACAAAAGAAAATATTAGGTCCTTACTGGTTTGAATATGAAGTGTTTCTCACGAGGCTCATGTGTTAAAGGCTTCATTGCCAGCAGATGGGTTTTTGAGAGGTGATTATGGGATCATGAGAGTTCTAACATCACCAATGGATTAATCCTTTAATTAGTTCATAGCTAAATGCCTTATTAGAAAGTAGGTAGGATATAGCTGGAGGTGGTAGGTCAGTGAAGGCATGTCTTTAAAGTACATGTTGTCATGAGCCCTTCCTCTAGGTCTCTCTGTTTCCTGGCTACCATTATGACCTTCCTCTATGACATTTCTGTATTTACAGGAACCTAAAAGCAAGGAATCTTCTGGGATCAGAATTGAAGCAGTTCTGTAGCAACATGCTGGGGCATTGTCTCACATTTTATTTCCTTTGGAAGAACATATCTGATCATAGAATGGTAGCATAGTAAAGCATGCAGTTGTGTGTTCTAGGATCCAGTATCCTGAAATTTAAGCATTGGCTCTGCTGCTTAGTATTTTTATACTCTTATATTTAGAAGGTTCCAAGTTAGTGAGAGTTATCATGCCTGGTACCAAGAGTGTAGCAAGCTCTCAAAAGTTAATGGTTTTTTGTGATCATTGTATTTTATTGTTTTTTTCCTAAGCTTGAGATTTTTTATTTTTAAAATATGTTCAGAGTCCTTTATCCTTTTCCTTTAAGATTAATGTTTCTGGAGATTTTCCATGGCTGCATCACTAAGCTAAACAGAGCTCAGATTATGACCTAGTATTTCTTTATTCCTGATCTGTGTGTCTCACTAATATGATGTTTCGTTTCACAATTATTATAATTTTCCTGAACTTCAGCCCTGCCAGGGCTGGAATGGTAATAAAATACAACCAAATGATAGACATTTTGACATGGCAATATTAAAAGGATGATGTATTGATGTAATGTCATGAATTTCCAGCCTTAGAGGCATCACAGAACACAACTAATACTTCCCAACCCACTAAGCTCCCTGCTGCCTTCCACAGAGACTCATCTGAAGTCATGTTCCTCAGGGAAAAGTGACAGCCAAAATTTGTCCCCTCAGCCTGTTAGGTTCTTAAAATCTCTGGTCAGAACAATCAGAGGTAAGAATCTCTCATACTACTTAATAACTGATGTTAGGGTATATGTTACCAAGCAGAGACAATTACTCATAAGACAGAAGGTGTCCTTGGGGGTAATAAGCAATAAGCCTACAGTTACCATAGTAACATACAGTATTATCTTAGTTGAATATCATTGCTTATGATGATTCTGTTAGGCTTGACCAATTGTATTTGCAAATTGGTGTGATATTTGCCTAGATTTTGGTACTTGGGAGTGATGGAAAAGTGTATTGATCCATCAATTACGCTCTTTACATTTTTGTATTTGTTGCCACTTACAAAAGTTGTAGCTGACAAAGAAATACCTTAATATAACATAGTTCAAGAGTTAAATACAGTAGACATCATGGGAAGAGCTAATTATAATCAGGTTTATAGAAACAATGGAGGTCTGATACTCAAAGATGAATTGGGTAAAATCCTTCAGCCAGCTGGTGGTTAAGGGTTGTGATTTTCACAATAGAAAGAGTAACACAAACACTTTAAAGAAGCTGAGTGGTAGATCTTTTCCAAGTCTGGGAAAGATTCTAAGTTCCATCCCTAATACCAGGATTTGTGTGTGTGTATGTGTGTGTGTGTATATGTGTGTGTGTGTACACATGCCAGGCCTAGAGTTTGGACTCAGGGCTTGGCACTCTCCCTGAGATTTTTTTCCTCAAAGTTACCTCCTCCATTTCTGGCTTTTTGAGGTTAACTGGAAATAAGATTTCCATGCCTTGGGCTTGCTTCAAACCATGATCCTTAGACCTCAGCCTTCAGAGTAGCTAGGATTATAAGCCTGAGCCATCAGCACCCGGGTAAAAAATAATGTTAAGCTATTGTTTATCTGGCTACTCTTTCCAAACACCATACTTTCTTTGTTATATAGAAAAGAAAAAGAAAAATATTTGGAGAAGCTTGGTAAATTGTATATTTCATAAATTCTGCCAATTGCTTAAGGTTCAGTTTAAAGAGTAAAATAAGGATTAAACTGTATTCATTGGTTCTTTAAAGAAAATAAACGAACTATGTGCATAATCAGAATAAGTAGACAGCTAACATGAAAGTCTATATCCCAAATTAAATGGATAGTAAGCTATCTTCTTTCCATGTATTCATTCTAAAAAGACTGACTCATGCTTCGATAGGCAAAGTTCTTTTTTCTTTTTTGGAGTCCTATTTTGGAGCTATCCAAATTGTTATTGAGTATAATTGGAAGAAAATCCAGCGAAGTGATCAAAGGCCACTGTTCTCTGCCGCTACCAAGTGAACACACACTGCCCTCTGTAGGTCAGTATCCTTGTCCTGTCCTGACACTTGAGAACTTCTCTCCCTATAGCACTTCTCCTTTGTAAATAGAAAAATAGTGTCTAGATGTAGGATATAGGATTATGAAAGGTATGTGTGAAGTGTGCTTGTGAGATATGTGTGTGTGTGTGTGTGTGTGTGTTTGGTGGCACTAGAGAAGGATTTGTTGGGGGATACTGGGATGATGAGCCAGTTAAACTAGTTGGTGAGTGAAATGGATTTCAGAATGTACTTCTCAACATGTACCATCAGCATTATTTAGCAACTTGGTTAAAAATAAAAATTCTTATACCTAATTCCAGACCTTCTGGATAGGAAATATCAGGTGGCCTTGAGATTACATTTGACTAAATACAGATGATTCTGGTACCAGTTTAGAACAACAGCTGCTATGGGGGAAAGTGTGAACTACTCTGGTGACTGGTAATCACAGACAGCTATAGCAATGACCAGTGTGACTTCTCTGCTCAGATATTATGATCCTGAAGGATCATAGTTGCCTAAGACAGAAATCCTGGTTTCTATGAAGACTTACCTTATACTTATATTTCACTGGATTGTGACTCTGTGTGTGTGTGTGTGTGTGTGTGTGTGTGCGCGCGCGCGCGTGCGTGAGCATGCACGTGTATGTGAGCACACACACACACACGCACCAGGAGTAATGCTCAAACTCAAGTCTCACTCTTTTGCTTAGGTGTTTCTGCTCAAGTTAGCACAACAAACATATTTATCCAATTATATGGGCAAGGAAAGTTTGATTCTAGTTTTTGGTTAATATAATATAATGAACATTCATGTAAATTTCTCTTGTCATACTCCTATTAAGATTTTTCTAGAACACATGCTGGAGTTAGAATTGCTGAGATCTAATTGTGACCATCTTTCTCAGATAACACTAAATGGAATTCCAACTGGTTTTGTCTAAATTTTTTCCACTAAGACTATATATGATTTTCCTTGCGTTACATGCTTAGTTGGTCCATTGGTGTCACTTGACTTTAAAAGTTTTGCATTACTAATTGTGTTTTGTGTGATTTTGGTTTTCATAGGATTTCATTTCATGAATTTACCAATGAGACTCAGGGTATTTTAATAGAGTGAGGATCATTTGTGCTCACCTTTTTCTTTAGAAATGTTTGCCTAGACCATCTCTTCAGGAAAGTTGCCACATTCTTATTTTGAGGAATATAGATAGATAGATACATAGATAGATAGATATAATCACTCACATGCACTAGAAATAAATTCTCCTAATTACGTTTTGTAAATGTTGCATTTTGCTATATATATTCTCACTTAAAATTTTCAGTGGTTTGAATTTCATGTGTGTCTTGCCTAAGAATTTCTTTTATTTTCATAAGATCTGAAGATAATCACTTAGATTCTCATTTTAAATTGTGAAACTTTCATTCACTTATATGCCTTTAAATCTCTGGTAGTTGATTTTTTTGTGTGTATAGATTTGGGTGGTAACTAATAATATTATTGTCACCATAATGATTTAGTGAATAATTCAACACTTGTACACAGCTAGGTCATGACTACCTTGTCCAAATATAGGTTTTCATAACTGTGCTTCTGGGGTCTCAGTTCTGTGTACTTGCTCTATTATAATTCCAATTTTACACTGTCTTGTGTAGAACATATCCATAACATATGCTGATGGTCTTTTCTGGGATATCATGAATATTTGCCACTTGCTTTTCTTATTAAATTTAGTTTAAGTATTTACAAATACCATGCCATAAGTATTTAAAACTACAACATGATATATATGATCAATATAACAATATGATATATCAATTAAAACTAAATATATTTTTTAATTTTTTAAGAAGTTATAGTCAGCACCAGTGGCTCATGCCTATAATGCTAGCTACTTAGAAAGCTAAGACCTAGAGGATCACGGTCCAGAGCCAGAAAAGTCCATGAGACTCTATATCTATAATAAGTAATAAGAACCAAGCTAGAGTCCTGAGCTAAGTGGTAGAACTCCAGCTTGCTTGCTGAGCAATTATTATGCTCAATACCAGCATAAATAAATAAATAGGAAGTTACAAACACATACATAAAAGTACTATGCATATATGATACTTCTGGAGTTGTATTAGATATATAAAAGGATGTGTGTGATAACTGGCAGATTTGTGATATTTAGTAGTTTATCATCAAACAGAGACTGTCTTCTATTCATTGAGATTTCAACTTACTATTCTCCTTTATTGTCTTTGAGATTTTCAGGAATTATTTTTTACAGGAGCAATAATGTATTTTAGTTTACTTGTTGGCACAAATCCAGAATCTGAGAGCATTTTTTACTTTATAATGCTAATACATATTCTAGAATATCTAGTCCACAACTTTCTTCACCAGAAAAGACTTATGCAGATTCTTTTTACCTGTGGTTTTTAATTTAAATATGTGGCCATTTTGTATTTGTTTTATCTTTCAACTTGTTGTGTATGTGTGTTTAGAAAACAACAACAACAAAACTTCTCCATTTGTTTTGTAGGTGGAAAATGTTAATCAGTGAAAAAAATCACTTTTGGTCAGTAGGAATTACACGAAGCAGATCTGAAGGAAATTTGGTTGACATGGAAGCCCGAAAACTTTCAAAAACTTGCAATATTACAGGTACAGTATATTTATTAATATAGCTAACAGTATACCTAATAGTATAACTATAGTAACATTTTCCAACATTAAAAAATTTGTATGAGTTTTTAAAAAAATTATGAGATTCCCACCATTATCATAGACATATGTATCACGGAATTCGGTATTGTGGAAAATAGGTAAAATAAATCCACATTATTGGAATACAGTAAATATCGTAAAGAAGCAAACAGTCATTAATAAGTAAACTTATAGAGCCTTGTGTGATAGCACACATAGGTAATCCTAACAACTTGGGAGGTGGAAATCAGGAGGATTTTTTTTAAGGCCATTCCAAGCTTTAATAAATAAAATCAAAGTGTTATGTGCCTGGTACATGAGAAAGCTAAATAGGAGAATTGTGGCATAAATATGAGACCCGATTGGGGCTCCCGTGGCTCAAGCCTGTAATCCAAGCTACTCAGGAGGCTGAGATCTGAGGATCACGGTTCAAATACAGCCTGGGCAGGAAAGTTCATGAGACTCTTATCTCCAATACACCGCTCAGAAAACTGAAAGTGGTGCTGTGGTACAAGTGGTAGAGTGCTCGCCTTGAGCTGAAGAGCTGAGGGACAGCGCCCAGGCCCAGAGTTCAAGACCCACGACTGACAAAAAAAAGACACCCAATTAAAAAAAAACAGAAAAACAAAAAAACAACTAAAATTAAAAGAGGTTGGTGGCATCTTTTAATTAGGACAGCTTCTGTCTAGCAAGTGGAAGACTCTGAGTTCAAACCCTGGTACTGACAAAGTTTCAGTATGCTTTAAATATAGTGAATTTGAGGGTAAAGAGATCTCTGGAGGTTGGAGGACCTAATTGTTTTTCATAGAACAGAAAACCATTGAACTGATCCTCAAAGAAAAACAAAATGTTAGGAGAGAAACTAGACAGAAGGATAAATAAGAGAAATTTTCCTATATTATATAAAATACATCTTCCAATTTTTAATGTGCAACATTTAGAATCCTTTAAATCAAGTAAAAATTCTATGCATATTGAACAAAACAGTGTGATGGTTCTCTAGAATCAATTTTTTTTTTAGAGAACCTCTGTTAATTTGGTTGCTCATTCTTGCTTTTATTTTCTCTAAAGCAGTAGAGACTCACCAAGTCCCCAGGGTCATTAGTGACATTTTTTGTGAAATGACCAAATATGAGTCATTCTTAACACATCAAAAAATGGCTTCAATATTATAAGATATAGGGGAATTCTTATACTAGAAATGCAAATGCTTTAATGTGTTACAAAGTCCTTAAATGCTCACTTTACAAAGTAATTATCAATGTCTAGTGCTTGTGATAAGACATATTGGGTCAATACAAAGTCATCAAAGACCCAGTGAATTCCTGCCAGGAGGAAATCCAATGGTGGTCTGTTATATCAATGTTCTTTTTCCACATACACACATGCACACACATGCGCACACACACACACACACACTTCAATGTTATTAAGGTTATCACCCCTTTAACAGCTACTTACCAGGTATTAAAATATACTGAAAAATGTATCAATGCATGGACCTAGAATAAATCATGCTAAGTGAAGTAAGCCAAGTTCAGAAGACAAAGGGTGTATGTTTTCTTTCATACATAGAAGCTAGATCTAGAAGTTAATTGGGCATGATCATTTTTATAGGACTCTAGGCATTTACATACTAACAGACTAAAGGAGGATACAATCAGGTGAGAAATCCAAAGGCATAACTTCTCTGAACAGCTAAAATACAATTTATGGAAAGGAAATCTAGGAAACAGAAGCATGGATTTTTGTTGTGCTGTAGGTGGTGGTGGTAGTTTTCATTGGCTTTTGGGATTGGTTTGAGGTGGGGGAAGGAGGGACACAGACAGGAAGGAGGAAGTGTGATTCAATATATACTATATGGAAAATTACTATGTGACTGATGGGCAGGTATGGGAGGGGGAAACTGGGGGAAAGTGAAGGAAGAGATGACATTGTCCAAAAAAAGAAATGTACTCATTACCTGACATATGAAATGAGATGACATTGTCCAAAAAAAAGTACTCATTACCTGACATATTTACAACACTTGAATAGTATTATATTATATTAATAATATATAGTAATATAATAAAAATTTTCAATGCAAAGTTGCCAGAAAATAAGGAATTAACAATGACCATTAAATTAAGCAATTAATTTAGGTATTTTATAGATGTATTTGATGTTGCTATTTAATTTTGAATCCTATCTGAAAAGAAAAGCATTAAATTGAAATGCTAGATATAATGGCAACGACTAATTTGTGTTTTAGAAAATTCAGAATAATTGAATCAGTTCAAATGTTTGCCTTTGTGAACAAAATGAAACATGACATAATGCATACATACATGCATGGTAGTTTAAGGCAGTGTGTTAAAACATTACATTGTTTATATTGCAATATATTGCTTATCTATTAATATGTTTATATATAGATGCATTGCTATATATATATATATATATACATATATATATATATATCCTAGTGACTAAAGATAAATATAGTCAAAATTTTCTTTTCCTTATTTTCAAATGAGACCTAATTATAGTTTTGTATTAGATAATAGACCGGATCAAAAAAGTCAAGTAAAAAGCCGTGTTTGGACTTCTGAGCTTGATCTTGGTTGTAACTCTGAGTGCCTCTTGTGTTTCACTTTGTTTTTGTTTACATGACAAGAATGCCACAACTGGCCAGATGCTCCTGCTCTTCCAGTTCCTGATACCTCCAAAGCTCCCAATCCATTCTGGAATGAACTGTCCGCTTCTAACCCATTTTTGGACGACATAACCCAGCTGAGAAACACCCAGAAGAGAAATACCATTTCCATTCTGAAGGAAGATCCTTTTCTGTTTTTAAGAGAAATAGAAACGGGAAATTCTTTCGATTCTTCGGGTGATGAACTCGATGTGCATCAGTTGCTCAGGCAGTCTTCCTCCAGGAAATCGGTAAGATCGAAAAGTGTCTCAGAACTGCTGCACATTTTAGATGACATGGCACGTGCTTGTCAGAGTATGCATAACTCTGACCAGATCCTAGCTCAGGACTTAGAATGGCTTCAGAATGATCGGGAAGCTTATAAAATGGCCTGGTTAAGTCAACGCCAGCTGGCCCGCTCCTGCCTGGATTTGAATACAATTCACCAGAGTCCTGGCTGGGCTCAGACTCAAGTTGCAGAGACCATCAGCGTTTGTAAATTAAACCACCAAGGAGGCTCTGTACAGTTACCTGAATCGGATATCACTGTTCATGTGCCCCAAGGCCATGTGGCTGTGGGAGAATTCCAGGAGGTCTCTCTAAGAGCTTTCCTAGATCCTCCACAAATACTTAACCATCATCTTTCATGCACTGTCAGCCCTCTGTTGGAAATCATGTTAAGCAACCTTAATACAATGGAAGCTATTTTGCTGGAGATGAAAATTGGGGCTGAAGTGAGAAAGGATCCTTTCAGCCAAGTCATGACAGAAATAGTGTGTTTACACAGTCAGCACAAAGAGGGCCCTTTCAAAGTGTTAAACAACTGCTATATATATGAAGACACTATCCAAGTCAAGTTAATTGACTTGAGTCAGGTGATGTATATAGTGATTGCTGCCCAGGCTAAAGCCATTCGGCCACCGGCTGCCACCATTTGGGATTATATCCACAAAACCACCTCGATTGGCATTTATGGACCGAAATACATCCACCCCAGTTTCACGGCTGTTTTCACAGTTTGTGGACACAGCTATATGCCATGCAAACTTACAGTCTCAGATATCAGTAAAGGTGGAAAAAATACATCTCCAGTTGTGTTTCAGCTCTGGGGAAAGCATTCCTTTTCACTTGACAAGCCCCAGGATCTAAACATTTCTGTTTTCTCATGTGATCCTGATTTTGAAGTAAAGGTAGAAGGAGAAAAGGAAGAAATTAAACAAAAGCAGTTGGAAGCAGGGGACATAATTCACCGACAAGTTTTATTTTCTTTGGTTGATCACAAAGACATGCACTTGTTCGTCTTCCGAGTTCAGGTGGCGCCTCCCAATGGTAGGCCAATTTCACAGTTCTTTATCACTTCACCTGATCCAGCACCAAATCTGAAAAGGCTCTCATATCTGCCAGATTCTTTGCAGAAACGAAAAGAAGCCAAGTCTTCTCCTCTACCACCAGCAGTGCGTGTGAAATACCCCACATTTCAGAATAAAAAAGTGAACTTTACGAACTACGGTGTAACCCTGAAGACTGTGCTGAGACAAAGCAAGATAGAATACTTGCTCGAATATTTTAAAGGGGACACAATAGCTCTCCTGGGAGAAGGGAAGGTAAAAGCCATTGGACACTCCAAAGTAAAAGAGTGGTATGTGGGCGTCCTCAGGGGTAAGGTTGGCCTTGTGCATTGCAAAAATGTCAAGATAATCCTAAAAGAGCAAGTTATGGGTACGTCTGATACGGAGTGTACCACAAGGAACCTTCTTGAACAGATTGCCCTGCCCTTTAAAAAACTGACGTATATATACTCAGTTGTATTGACGTTGGTGTCAGAAAAGGTCCATGATTGGAAAGTTTTAGCTGAGGTGCTGGGTTACTCACATTTGGCTCTGCAAGATTTTGATGGAATACAAACTGAAAAAGAATCAGAAAAGGTTTCTTTTGTTGTGAAGAAGTTAAAGGAAGATTGCCACGAAAATAGAAATACAAGGAAGTTTCTTTATGAACTTATTGTGGTGAGTATTTCTTGGCTATTATCATTTATTTATGATAAAGCACACATTACAATGATGATTATGATTATGATTTTATTTGCTTGTGGTACTAGGGATTGAACCCAGGGATGTATGCTTGCTAGGCAACTGAGCTGCCCGCCACCTGAGCCATGACCCTGGGCTTACCACAAGAAACATATGAGAAAAGAATTTTTTAAGTTGAAGTTTCAAAGATGTTTAAGACATTTTACAGAGAGTCTAGAATTTTTCCTACAATATCATGCAATCGGATTCTCAGATTTGAGATTCAATTTTTATTTGCTCAGAAAAGAGGTCCTCAAAGATTACTTTTAAAGAGGCAAAGATGAAAGATTCTATTTGTTCTGGGCTTAAAACTTAAGAGACATTTTCTCTTCCTTTTACAAATGTTTAGATAGCTCTTAAAACATCAGAGAACTGCCATATAATTAGATAAGAGAAAAACTTAAAAGTATCTTTTTCATCCTTGGAGGTCCACATTTTATTTAGCTTCACGTTCTTCTAACATATTATCAATATGCCTTGTTTGGAATTTAATATTCTTTTAAAAATATTTTTATTGTAAAGGTACTGTATAGAGGGGTTACAGTTACATGAGTAAGATAATGAGTACATTTCCTATTGAGCATTGCTCATCTCAGTGGACAGCTTAGTGGAAACTCATAAAGAATTATTTCGTCTTTATAAAAGTAGCAATTCATTGTGTTATTAAAATATCATTACCATATATATAATAATCATTAGAATGTTAATGTTTAAATAATAACTGTAATTTTCTGGCTGGTAGCAGATACTTTCTTGAAATAAAGTTTGTATGTTTATGTATGCTTTTGTGTGTGTGTTGAATAAAAAGTTTTGAATGTATGGTAGTATTCTATCTGTGAAAATCTATGCCCTGTAGGAGATAAATGAGATGATAAAAAATGATATAGAGAAGGAAGGTTTATATATATATATATATATATATATACACATACATATATAGTTAAGATACTGTATATATATATAATATATATAGTACATGAATAAGGTAATGAGTACATTTCCTATCAAGCATTGTTACCCCCTCCTTTGTTTTTTCCCTACCATCCTTTCCCTTTCTACCTCCCCCCACCCCAAAGTTGTAAAGTTCATTTTCAACATAGTGTCTTATACATCTCATTGTTACTATGGGTCAACCTGTATCCTTGTAGAGGGAGAAACTTTTAATCAGGTACAAACAGAAAGAAAAACAGGAGAATCAATTTGATCTGTGACATTAACAATAATTTACATATTAAAGATATAAATACATAAAAACATTTAATTGTTTTCAAAGTTTATTATAACTCACAATGACACCAAAAGGACTTAAACTTAAAAAGCCCAATATCCTTTTGGTGAGTGGACAGATTTCCTTTTGGTATGCTATTTTTTCCACTTAATCCGGTCTTGTGGCTATTGAATGCTATAAGCTACTCTATTTGGTACAAGCTGAAAATTCATTTTCAGTAGTTCATTTGCAGCATGTATCCATAAAACATTGATATTGGAACTGTATTCTTTGTTCTCTTGGTGGCTGGAGAGAAAGTTTCATTGCCTAATTATTTGAAAGTTTAAGCCTGATCAGATTTCAACTTTTTGGCTTCAGTAGCGAATTAGGCAATGCTGATGGAAATCAGGTCCCAATGGGTGCCCCAAACTTACACTCATCCTCAGTGGAGCTGTAGGAGTTCCGTGTGAGAGTTTTAGGCCTGTCTACCTGATAGAAAGACAGTTGAGCATGGGGTATAGAGTTGCCTCTTGAAACTTTATTTGCATAAAAGTATAATTTTTTATACTCTGTGATGCCTTTCTGTTTCTTGTTTAAACTTCATTTCATTTCAAAGAATTAGGAGAGTTAAAAATAATTAAGTAGAGATGGTGAGTTATGCACATGAAGTCCTATATTTTGAGGATATGGATTTTAAACTCAGGTTTTATGATTCCAAATGCTGATTTTGAAACCCTAAAGGAAGATACCACTCTACATAGTGGTAAAACCATTTAATAATGCTTCAGGGCCTGCTGGGGCCATAACTCCCAGTATAAAAGCGGGAATCTTGTAAACTCTATATAAAAACCATACGTAATCCTTCTAATTTTATATCTCATGGGCAATAAATAAGGACTTCAATAGTTGTCTTCATCACTTGTTTTTACTTAATGTGTCATACTTGTAGGTAGCACATCTAAGTGCCAGTATCAGATTTATTTCCTAATTTGAACAGATAAATACAGACGGACCTAATTACATCTGAAATGTATCCAAGACAAAACAGAAACTACTAGACTTATTTGACCATGCAGGGTGAGTGACAAAGTCCAGGGGCTGAATGAAAGAAGAAAGACTCTGATGGCTTTCTATTTCACATTGCAGGAGATGGTCTTATTTTTAAAACCCTTATATATAACACAATTACATTAGTGGTAAGGAACATAGGTAGTTGTTTCAAAATTTATAAACACCAATACTTTTGTTCAATTGAAGGTGTGTCATATTTTTATTCAGTATGCATATATCCTAGGAAATTTTAAATCACATTTTAGTGAAGCATAAAATAATGTGTACCATTACTAGTGTTCTCATTCTTCACACACACACACACACACACACACACACACACACACACACGCATGTGCATGCACACGCCACTTGTTAGTCTTCCAGTAAGGGAAGACTATTTTTTGTGCATGAATGATCACTACTAGACTCATAGATTATCACCTGTTACCACATCAGAGTAATTTTGAAGTGTGCAGTTCACCTTTCTCCTTTTACAATGAAAGATATCAAAACACATATTAGTTGACAAATATTAATTGATTAACCTAAAATCCATAATTAACCATTGAGTTTGTCCTATATCTTCCCTATTTCTGATTTAGTTATGGCTACCATCTTTGGCTTGTTAAATTTGCCTAAAATTGAGCCAATATTTTGAGTTTGAAAAAAATCCAATTATATGGTGGAGAAAAGAAAGACCTACAATTTCTGGAATACTAAATGAAAAGTCAAAGTGACTTGCTTTTCATGATGATGTATAATTGCTGTCTCAGGGTCTGCTAAAGATGGATTGCCAAGGGTTAGTGGCACATCTAATCCAGGAGGCTGTTATTCTGACCTCAGCAGTCAAACTTGGAAAAGGCTGGAGAGAACTTGCTGAAAAGGTTGTACGGCTCACAAAGCAACAAATGGAGGCATATGAAATTCCCCATCGTGGCAGAACTGGAGATATTTCTGTAGAGGTAAGATCTGTGTTTTATCTAGTTCAATGGTGAAAACTTTCAGGCCAAACAAATGTTTTCAAGCCTGGACCACATGTATGGATTAATTGAAATGTCCACAAACAACTACCACCTGAAGTGACTACCCTTGTAAACCCATTGAAACTACCTGAAATAATACTAATACGCACACTCTAAAAGGTGTGGAAGGCCATTACAATATATTGACATTTTTCCTGTTGTTTTTCATATTAACATAGCTTTTGACCAGATTAGCTGATCAAAATGGATTGATAAGAAGTCAGGGCAAAACAAATAAAGAGAAGAACCTGGGGAGGGGGCAGAGAGAATGCAGGAAAACATTCAATGTATATCCTACAAAATTAAGAAGAATGAAGGGGTGGGTTGGAGGGATGGGTTTGAATATTGAAAGGGGTGACATTGATCAAGATTTGTTATATTCATCAACTGCTTTATTAAATGGCAACTCCTTTGTATAAGCACTTAAACATAATAAAAATCAGGGATTTTTTTTTTTTTTTTTTTTTGCTGGTTATGGGGCCTGAACTCTGGGCCTGGGCTCTGTCCCTCAGCTCTTCCACTCAAGGCAAACACTCTACCACTTGAGCCATAGTGCCACTTCTGGTTTTCTGAGTGGTTTATTGGAGATAAGTGTCTCACAGACTTCTCCTGCTCTGTCTGGCTTTGAACCATGATTCTCAGATCTCAGCCTCCTGAGTAGTTGGATTTACAGGTGTGAGCCACAGGTGCCCAGCATAAAATAAGTTTTTTAAAAAAGGAAGACAGGGCTTTTAAGAGCTTATGTCATTTGACAGTTAATTTTGATGGGAAGCCTTTGAATCAAGACAAGGGAGGAAGATACAGTACTTAGAACTTACAGCCTCAGGCTTTTGATCAGTCATCTGTGATAGATGAGGAACACCAAGATAGTGGCTGATGTGGAGCCACTGATACTAGGGACAAATGCCTGAGAGTTCATTATCTTTTCTACAATTTTTCATACAGTAAGAATTATTGATATCCTATACAGAATTACAGTGTAAATATTTACCATACAAGTATAGTTTCTGTCCATATTCTAACAAACTAGCACTCACAGCAATGAGAAATAATTTTCATTCAATTAAATAAAATAAAATAGCATAACTAAACATAAATAAATAATAGAAATTAAAATATAAAACAAAATATTCCATAACATATATGAAGTATAAGAATATTCCATAAAAGTCTCTGTATCTTTTAAATTAAAAAAAATTCACAGTGTTTACAATCTTTATTGTAACTTGATCATGACATGGTAAAAACAAAAGCAATGTTTTCTACTTTTGAGGTATGATCTGGATGCTAGATTTTTTTGAGAATTTTCTTCCTCTGAAGTAACTGTTCCAGGTGGGTGATGAGGACAAAGCAGCCTTTGGATGAGGAGTGAAGCATTAAACCAAGTCAGCTGAAACCCAACAGCTGCAGGAAGTATCAGCAGACTGGCCATCTGGCCGGAAGCCTGGGCCTCCAGCAAGACCAGCTTAAAACATGACTAGCCAGGAGCAGCTGGAGATTGAGCACCTATTTCTCTCATAGACTATAGCTATCTCTATAAGCTTTGAAGGGCATTGCAACCTATAACTGAGCATACAACAGCTCTGAACACAGTGTACAATGTGGACACAGGCATTAGCTGAATGAAGATAAAGTGTAAGAAATCCTTAGGAATGAGATGAGAACCATATTAAGTGGAAAGTGCTATTCTGAGTTAGAAATTTCAGCTAACCAATTTAAAAAAACTGTCTAATTGAAACCTTATTTTTTCCATGATAAGTTCTTAAAGACTTTGTTGATAACTTTCAGAGGGTGAGCTGTTTTAGAAGCCTTTTTAATCATCTGGATTCTTTCTAATTGTGATTGTAGTTTATCTTCCCCCAATCTTGATGGAAGCCAACAAAAGCCTACTTTTCCATTATTTACTTTTACACACCCCAAATAATAAATGACTAAGTCTATGCTGGAGGCTAGAACTGCTCGGAAGCATAAAGGAAATCCCCTGGATGTTTTTCATGGTGTCACAATTTGATTTGTTTGATTAATACTAACAGTCATTACTCTGGTCCATGTTATTCAATACTTAGAAAAATCTAGGGTATGTTATTCTAAAGCTATTCCAATAACCAATAAAAATATGTACCTATTAGGCTATTTAAACTAAAGGATACTGTATGCTAATTTGCATTCTCCTAAAAACATATAGTTGTATAATTGTTTTCTCTTTGGAAGGATTTTTAAAAGTATGATCAATTTACAAATGAAGTAGTTGATTTCAGAACACACCGTTTGAACTGGGAGCCAAAGTGCAGAGAAAGGGAGCTGGCATTAGGGCAGGAAAGAGACCCACGTTCAGTGCCGTTTGCTGCTTTTGTTTCCTCTCAGGGCATACAAATTCCCAAAAGTGTTCCTGTATGTGTGTTGGCACCTATAGTTAGGCTGGGCTTTCTCTCACTCTTTTTTAACTTCTTTTTTTGTAAAATAAGTTTTTTATTGTGAGAATACTGTACAGAGGAGGGGTTACAATTACATGAGCAAGGTAATGAGTACATTTCTTATCAAGCATTGTTGCCTCCTCCTTGGTTTTTCCCCTACCATCCCTTCCCTAACCTCTCTATTCTCTTTGTTCCGCTCTTACCATATTTAACAGAGAGTGATCCGGCACTTGTCTGTCTCAGGCACACTTCCTAGAATATTACAAATATGACTTTTCTTGCGAACAGCAGTGTCTTTCAACAAACATTTGCAGAAGAGACACAAATATGATGGGCGATGTAGAAATATTTGTTGACTGGCCTTATTCTATAGAGTTAGAAGGTTGTGCTCCAAGTGCAACATGGTGAACCTCCACACTGAGCACCTGGGGCTTGGGCTCTCTCACTACTCACTTCATGCTTTCTTTGTTCTTATTCAAGCCATGTTACATTGCTTACCAACTTTTACCTGGATAACGTCAAGCCTCAAGCTGACTAAATAAGGGGGAATAGCGATAGTATGTTTTTTCCATTTTTTCTTGGAGATTTTTAAAAAATCTTTTCATGTTCTTTTCTAAAGTGAAGAAAGAGCCTTTCTGTGCAGAGTTTCGAGAATGTTAAATTAACCATCTCCCCAAATTAAATTTTAAGAAATTGTAATCTATTGTTATCATTCCTACATAAAACTATACACTGACAATTTGATTATAAGCAAATACAATTTACAGACTCTGATGGAAACAATATGTTTGGGAGATACAAAGATGTAACTCCTGCAAGGTTTTATTATACTCCCCTGGAAGTTCAGTGAAGCTAGCTTTCCTAATCTTAGTATTTTTGCCATCTCAGAAACCACTCACTTGCACAAAGTCATAATCAGCAGTGTATATCTTAAGTTTGTTTTGTGGTAACCATTGAACCAGTAAAAATGAAATTATCTTTTGTATTTTCTAGGAATCATCTTTACCCCTTTTCATTTTCTCACTAGCAGCTGGAGTGTTCAGGGCATCTATTCTATGTCTGATTTAAAGCTGGCAAAGTAGATGATATTGAAATGCTAATTTTATGCATTTTCTTAAGCAATTAAGAGATCCTTTTTATAATTCTCCCCCCTCATATATTTTTCTCTCTCCTCTTATCCTTGGCTCAATGTTCTATTCACCCACCTACTTCAGCAGATTTTCTGAGTATATAAATTCTCAACATTGAGTTTGGAACTACAAAAACACAAACAGAATACAAAACAAAGACATTTGTCTCTTGAAAGCTAAAATTTATTTAGTTTTTTAAATTTAATTTTGTCAAGGTGATGTATAGAAGCGTTACCGTTACATGAGTAAGGTAATGAGTTCATTTCTTGTCAAACATTGTTACCCCATCCCTCATTTTTCTCCCACTTTTCCTCCCTTCCACACCCACCCCCAAGTTGTAAAGTTCATTTCCAACATAATGTCTTGTGAGTATTGCTGTTGCATTGATTTACCTTTTGTCATTTGTCTCACCATTTTGTTGTTCCCCTTCCCTTCCCCAAATCAGATAAATGTATATGTAAGACATGGGGTAGAAAAAGCAAATATGGTGACAACAGTGCATAAACAAAAGGGGATAAAAAGAATGAAAACGAAATAATTTCACACAGTACATTAACAACAACAAAGAAAAACCTTGGAGTTTCCATATCTTGGAGCTCATTTCGATTATTGAAAGCTAAATTTAATGTTGGCGTGGAGATGGTTAATATTTGAATTGTTATAATATCTTAAGTTAGCATATAATTAAATAACAATTATGGTTGTAGTGATCATAGTTGCCATTACTTACTAAATGTCAGTCTTTCTGAACACTTTACAATATTTCATCAAATTTTGTAAGAAAGAAATGATAACCATTTGATTTTATACATATGCAAACTAAATGTGAATTCAATTAGGTGATTTATCCAAAGATTCATGGTTAATAAGTGATAGAACTATAGAATTTGATTTTTTATTTTTGATAGATTCTTTTTTGCTTTTTTTAAAATAAGTTTTTTATTGTGAAAATACCATACAGAGGGGTTACAATTACATGAGCAATGTAATGAGTACATTTCTTATCAAGCATTGTTGCCTCCTCCTTTGTTTTTTCCCTACCATCCCTGCCTCCCATCTCCATGACTACATTTCCCCCCCCCAAAGTTGTAAAGTTCGTTTTTCGACATAGCGTCTTATACATCTTATTGTTGCAATGGGTCCACCTGTATCCCTATTTAGACAATTTGTTTTTTCCCTCCGTTCCCCAAATTATACCAACATCAAATACAGTGAAAACAGGTTATACCATGGGGGAGGGATATACAAAGTAATAAAAAATCACCTTATAAATATGTTAGAAACAATAGCAAGAAAGAATAAACCACTTGTGTCCTTATCTTAGGGTTCATTTTGCCTAACGTCATCTTATCATCTTATCTGACCTTTTCTGCTTGTCTCAGACATATACTAGTTA